TATGGACGAATGGCCGAACCGTGTAAAAAAAAAAGTCACCGTTATAAAAATACCCGTGTCCGTGTGGACAAGGCCTCCATCACCCTTGTGTTGTTCCAAACCTTCCTTTCTCAAATGAAACATAAAAAGAGGATATTATGAAGGGGTTCATTGTGGAACCCATTTTCATTGTATGGCCCGAAAAATTAAAGTAAAAATAAAACCTTGAGATCTATTTAAAAGAATATAATTTAATCAAATTTAAAATTTGAATATTACCACATAATTATTTCAATGCTACTTTCAGTATAAAACATTGAAATAGCCTTTATTTTTTGTGCATGCGATTTAAAGGTTTTATTTCCACTTTTGTTGTAGCAGGTGTTCTCATCAGCGCCCCCTACAGTTGTGCGGCGTAGCTATATTTCACAACACTGACATAAAAACACTCACTTGCGGCACCTTCCTCCCCCTTTCTTCCTCTGCTCATGTGCTTCTGTTGTTATTATCGGAGCTGGGCAACTCTATCGTGTGGAGCTTTGTCTACCAAGTGGGTAATACACCATACACAGTATCATAGAATTATTATGATATTACGAATTGCCATGAAGCAGTTTGGGCTTCTCGCTCATTCTCGCTCGTTCTCGCTTCTCACAAGACTTCTATTTCCAACTTACCGGGATGTTAGTCCCCATGTTGTAAGGATGGTTTTCCGCCTGGGGACACTGGGCGGAGTGGGGGAAGCCACCATTCTCTCCAGGACAGGTTATTGAACCATTCAAATGATTTCTAAATGGTTTTATTAACCCTTTCACGTGTACGATCACACCGGTGTGATCAGTCTTGGCTGGTCCCTGGAGCGTACGATCACAAAGGTGTGATTAGAATGGTCAGTGCATCACGTCATCAACTGCTAAATTCAAACTTGCTCTCGCACGTTGGCTGGTGATGAGCCAGAGACGGACGCACGCAGTGCTGTCATATATCGCAACTATTGAGTGTTTTCAACCACATGATGTTTATTTTAGGTTTCAGACATTTAAATACACATATGTACTAGCAAAACAATGATTTTAAGTTTGTAAAATACACACTGATGTCTATGGAAGCGGCAATAATAATCCTTTCAGTTATAATAAGACAACACGTTTTATTCATATCAGATACACATTGTGTAAGTAGCTTAACATTTGACCCTATTCTTCCAGTTCACTGGCCACTTACTTTCATGTATTTCGTGAGAAGTGGAGGAATTGACAGGTTGTAAAACCAACAGATTCGATTCTCTGAACTGTAAAACAAACTAAAATGGCGCCGCCCATTGTGCATACAGCTCAACTAACGCGATCGTTCTAAAGATGTTTAAACAACAAAACCCATCCACTTGCACATTTTTGACAATCGGAATATCAGTGTTTAATGCTATGGCTAATACATTTGTGAATATTTTTAATAAAAAAGGAAAAATTACATAAAAGCAGATCATCATTCATTCAGCGCTGTGTTGTGGTTGTGCTGTGTCACGTGACAAGCAATGACGCGTCACCATGGAAACATTAAAGTGGCACGTTCTAAATAACAGTCGCCTTGAAAAACTCACGCGCTCATGTGCTCCTCTTGTTGCTCTCAATGACATCAATTTTTCATGACCCTGTGATAAAGTTATTATATTTGTTTAGCAAGCTAGGAAAGGGTATGATTTTCAGTGAGCAATGTCTCGAATTACAGTCAGAGCTTCACACAAAGCCATCAAAACACTTCAGAAGACTTAGAATATATAGCACATGACATATGGATGGACTACTTATATGCAGCTTTTTTCTTTCTTTCATTTTCGAGCTTTACAGCACTCGTAATTATATGGCTAAAAGCAGAAATGCTGGTATTATTCAAAAACATTTTCACCTATTCTATTCCACAGAAGAAGGGTTTAAAATCAGTGTTGGGAGTAACGCATTACAAAAGTAATACATTACAGTAACATATTACTTTTTGCTGTAACGCAGTAGTGTAAGGCATTACTAATCAATTTTCAGTAATATTTTACTCGTTACATGTTCAGTGAGGCTTGTATTACAGTTGTATTACAGTGTATTGTCTGCTTTTACTTCTTAAAGGCAACAGACTCTGTGAGTTTTAAAGCAGTCTTTCAGTGCCAGTTCAGAGCGGTCGCGTCTGTAACATTGTTTATTCCTCATAAATGCGAACACGAAAACTAAAATAAAATGAATATTTTAAGTTCTATGGAGACTGGAGTGCCAACCCTTCCTTTTTTGATTTGCGCAGTGTAATTAACAGAATTACAAAAAAATATATTTTACCTCCTATTTTTTTGGCACGCATGAATGTGCGTCTTTTCCCTAATATTAAAAATAAAACATAGACTGATATTTGTATAATGTCTGGAGTCCTTTAAGGAAGTAGCCTATATACGTTTCAATACATGAATTTTCTGAGAATTTTTATTTCAAGTTTTGACTGCAAATGTCATGTCCATAATGCTGGACTTCCCCAATTTTACTAGTTTTGTGGTGTAGGTCTACGTATTTTATAATGTTAACTTCAAATAATCCTAATAGCCTAATTTTAAGATAAGGCAGCATTGGACATGGACGGTAAGGAGAATAACGCTGGAGTTGGAAGAGGTGTGTCGCGATTCTGTAGGTTCGTGGATGGGGCGAATCGCGATTTCGGTTTCATATTGCATATCGTTACAGCCCAAAAGTTAAGTTCTACTTAGTTATTTTGGTGAAAGTAACTCAAAAGTAATACATGAGTAATGTAACGCATTACAGTTCTGGGACAGTAATATTGTAAGGTAATGAATTACTTTTAAATAACAGTAACAAGTAATACCTAATGTATTACAGTTTGGAAGTAACTTGCACAACACTGTTTAAAATGACATGATTTAAAAAATGATTTCAGAACGTTACTTATGGAACTGCGTTCCAGTCAAGCATTTAGATAATTCCTTATATCATCCCTAGTACACACAGTACCATCTTCAAATGCGGTTCCAGTGTGGAATTGTGTCAGAGAAATAAAAAACATGTTGCTCGAGGACAAGCCCTTTACACCCACACTAACAATGTTTTTGTGTCTTATATTGTAGCGTAACATTGCTATAATTTATACAGTACTGTGGGCATGGGTGAGGCAGTGCTTGGAATATTATTATTTTTTTCCTTTTCTTTTAAGTTGTACAGCAGAATGCAGAAAGGGAGCGGGGAAATGCTTTAGGCCCACCTGGGTCAAGGGCAGAGCCATAAACATATGTATGAACAAATATGGCTCTTGCAGCCACAGGCCTGGATTCATCCTGAACTGCATTATAGTCAGTGTAGCTCTTAAAGGAGTAGTTCACTTTAATTTACTCACCCAAGATGTCCATGTCTTTCTTTCTTAAATCGAAAAGAAATTTTAGATTAGGTTTTTGATATATAATGGACTCCATATAATGGACTTCATTGGGAACCAAACGGTTCAAGGTCCAAATGAGAGTTTCAGTGCAGCTTTAAAGGGCTTTAAACGACGCCAGAAGATGAATAAGTCCAAGATGTCTTGTCTAGGACCCTTCGAGTCACGAAAAAAAGATTTGTTCATTTTGATGAACGAGTTTGAACAGGAGAGTCACGAACGCTCATCACAAAACAGAGCAAGGCGAGCATTTGTGCTTATAAAACTTAAACTTTTTAATTTATTTTTTGAAATGACCGATCGTTTCGCTAGATAAGATTATTCATCGTCTTATTCATCGTCTGGTGTTGTTTAAAGCCATTTGAACCTGCACTGAAACTCTCATTTGGACCTTGAACCGTTTGGTTCCCATTGAAGTCCATTATATGGAGAAAATCCTGGAATGTTTACATCAAAAACCTTAATTTCTTTTCGACTGAAGAAACAATGACATGAATATTTTGAATGACATGGGGGTGAGTAAATTATCAGCAAAAGTTTTTTTTTTTTTTTTTTAAAGTGAACTACTCCTTTAAAACACGCAGCCAGTGACCGTTCTCCTCAAACCTTTGCTTCTCACTGTTGTAATATCAGGGTTTCTATAGGGTGAATTAGAAGTTGTGGTGTCTTTTGAATGAAGTAATTCCCAATTAGCAATGGAAGCATGGCTGTGTCTTATTGCTTGTACTATGAAAGATTGAAAACAAGACTGCAACTAAACGTACAAGCAAATGTTTTATACATGGATTGAGAGGAGCTAAAATAGTTTTAAAAAGCAACTGAGGTAATGATTAGGCTCATGGTGAGGCTTTTCGAATCAGGACACTTTGTTTGTTTCTGACGAAGCACTTTTAATGAATTAATTGATTACGATAAGAGCAAAGACAAATTTAACAATATTGTTGTGCCGAAGAATGTAATTAATCCAAAAGCAGCTCAGCATACAATTGCAAGATTATTCATCTTTTGATATTCGGCAAGATGTATCAGCACATAATTCCTTTACTAATTCTGGTTCTTAACTAACTAATTATTCCAAACGCCTGGATCTGTTGCAGGCACTGTGGATCAATCTAGCATGTCCATGACACCCCCTCCCCCTTCCCTCGCCACCCCCCTTCCTTCCTCTGTGGCTTTCCAATGGCTTACACATTTTCCTTTCTCTTTTTTTTTATCCTTTCTTTTTTGTTTGTTTTCGGGAAAGGTTGGGAGGGGAGGAGGTTTAATTCAACGTCTTGTTAAAAATCCAATGTGAGTTGATTTTGCATGTGTTTCTCTGTGTCATAGCTGTGCTTCTAAGCTCAATTAATACTCCCAGCTCACCACTGATAAACCGTTCTGTGCACTGTTCTCTGCTTTCCTCGAAAGGCTAAAGATAAACGACAAGAATGACGAGTTAAATAAAGTTGTCCATGTGTGATATACTTTTATTTTGTCTTAAAACCATGTACTTGCGAGCCACCTCTACGTTCCAGAACTGTGACAAGCTCTTTTTTTCCCCCTTTTCTCTCTCTCTTTCTGAAGATTTGTATCAAAGCCTAGTTTTTCATGAACCTCTATTCTGTCCCTAGAATATGGAATGATCGGAGAACATACTGTAAAAAGTCAGCGGCCAAGATCAGTACATGACACAAAGGGCCTACAGGAGCGAGATGAATCTGCTAAATTTATGGCACAAACTGGTAATACAATAGTTATGCTTCTTTCCTTTCCTATGTAAACTAAACTTAATTTTCATCTTAAGTCACTTGCATGCTATCTTCTGTACTGCACCTTTAAGTGACAATGTTTATTTATCATATTTATTTTCTGTCCCTCTTCCACGTTGAGAAAAACAGAATTGGCCATTTTTGCACACTGACGAAGATGCCCAATTGGAATTTCTGGTTTCTATTTGTTTTGAAAGTTTTTTTATGACTTTAACCACTAAAATCAGTAAAATTTATAATCCAGACTTGTTTAAATAGAGATTAATTAAATGGTAACAGTAAACATATGTGGTTATACAGCCGACATAACCCTTATATATTACCTTTTAAAGTGCCAAAAAACAAATTTAAAAATACTTGTAGAAACTTGAAAATGTTTCTCTTTCCTTTAATCTTTCCTTTGCTTTAATTTCCCTGATTTTCATTGAATTTGTTTTCCTGCATGTTCCCTAGACGATAATGGGGAGGGACGTTAAGCAGCCATCTTATTTTGTTTTGCACCTTTTTGTATATTTGTGACATCCATGTAGCACTTAATATCATTTAAGTTGCAAATCATTGTGCACACTTAACCTTAACAACCTTGTTTCCATTCCAATCCAGTCTTTTCACGTGTTTTGTTGATTTATCTCCATTTAAAAATGAAAATCTGAACAGAATGCCATTCATCCTACATTTGGTTTCTCATTTTCAGATTGTCTGAGTTGTTGTACCACTTCATCCAGAGTTGATCCACCTCTCAATCTAATCTAATCTCTGAGAATGGCAGAGGAAATTGCTCATATGTGCCCAAAGGCATGCCAGGAGAATCTCTGGAACAAACAAACCGATCTTGAGTGTACTAGCAACTAAAAAAAAAAAAAAAAAGTTGCATACAGTTTGAGCATATGATCTTAAATTATTTATGATCGATATGCTCATTCAACCCGGTCTCACCCCAAGACGTCATATAACTGACGTTTTGGGACGTCTTTTGACCATACGTCAATATTCGCCTTTTTAGGGCCCCCTTAAACGTCGGTAGATGAGGTTATGGGATCCTAACTCTACCCCAGACCTAAACCTAACCCTAAACCTAACCCGTCACCTAACTGACGTTAAAGGTAAAGCGTCAGTTGTATGACGGCCCGGGATCACCATCTACCGACGTTTAAGGGGGCCCTAAAAAGGCTGATATTGACGTATGGTCAAAATACGTCCCAAAACGTCAGTTATATGACTTTTTGGGATGAGACTGTGTTAGCTCATTAGACTTAAACTGTTCATCGTTTCTTAAACCAATAAAATAGTTTATTGCATCCATTATTTGCTGATGACTGGCAAATTAAAATTAAAACTTGAAATGGTTAAGTTTCTTATGCTATCCCTTTATTCAGCATTACATGGCAATTAAATCATTATCTTGTGGATATTGATAACATGTGCTTTTAGAGACAACTTTCTTGCTTATCAAATGTTTGGCAGTGTCAAAATTTCTTATTGGTGTTTGGTCTGGCCATGCAATTGCTCATTGGGAATTACAGCCAATCCAGAGTGCAGTATTTAGTGAACACATATAAAGCCAACACATTCTCATCCCAAGACGTCATCTAACTTACGCTTTTGACCATACGTCAACATCCAACGTTTTAGGGTACCCTTTAACGTCACGTTATCTAACTGACGTTAAAGGGTACCCTAAAACGTCGGATGTTGACGTACGGTCAAAAGCGTAAGTTAGATGACGTCTTGGGATGAGAACGGGCTGATAAAGCGCAAAGCTAATCTCTATGTGTTTGATAGCTTTTAAACCAACAATTACGTAAATTGTATTTCGCAATCATGCATTAATGCCAGCAAACAATGCCAATGATCGAATTGGCGTTACAGTTGATAAATCGTAATGTTTTCCAGCTCAGGACCGTAATCAAGCCTTGACTGTTTGGATTCGACATGGAAAGTTCTTCCATCAAGTGAATCTCAAATGTGACCAACGCTACTGAAAATTGCTGTGATCTGCTGAATATCTTTCTCGACAATCTCCAATTCGAATTGATTTCGCTTCAAAGAGACAAGAAGCTTTAGCAAAAATCCAGAAAAAAAAAGTGAACTGCAATCTAGACTGAGGGCCAGAGGTCTGTTCATCTGTGCAACCGTAGTTAGTGGGAAACTAACTCTCATCAAAGATCATTCTCTAACTTGTAGAAGCCATGTTGCATGCATTCTGCATAGTTTATCATATTTTATATATTTCATCTATTAGTTTCGTTTGCCTTTTTCCTTTCAGTTGATTTCATCGAATTGATTGCATGCATGATTTTAAAATATAAATTTGGATGCTAATATAGTACAAGCATTTGTGGCCACACAGTAAATTCAATACGATCCTGCTTTGAATGTGCATAGATGTATCAGTTAGGATTTTAAATGTCATTGTCAACTGTCAATGTAATATTTTAATCTATTTGTAAATTGTATTACACTATGTTTAATGCCATTATCATAAATGGGCCATTCTTATAACCACCAGGACAAGTTCATTTGTGCTCCTGGAAATCTTCCTTCATGCAGAGTTTAGCTGTGTCCGAAACCAAAGGCAGATGTCTAGCTTCCCGGTCAGTCAATTATTTAACAGACTGAATGAAGGTTTAGGACTGTTAGGACCGTAATGATCTAGAACAAATTCAAGTGAGCTTAGAGATAACCTAATGAATATTTAATGCTTATTTCAGTTTTAAACTATATCATAATTTTATTTATAAGCTAAATTTCCATTGCTCTGTCAGACACCATTTGTATTCTATTAACCAACCGCACACAGAGGATTGTGAGAAATAATTAAAGAGATAGTTCTCCCAAAAAGTCATCATTTATTACCTTCATGTCATTCCAAACCTGAATGGCTTTCTTCTATGGAACACAAAAGAAGAAATGTAGAGAAAAGTCTGTTTTTGTCCATACGGTGACAGTCATTTTCACTCAATGGACTGAAACATTCTTCAAAATACAAGAAAATCATACACGATTGGAGTGAAACAAGGGTGTGTAACAAATGATGACAGAATTTAATTTCGGAATCCAGATCCAGAATTTAATTTAATTAAGATCATGCCATCTCTAATCAAAATAAGACCAGATGTAGTTTTCTTAGTAGACAGGATGATAGCAATTTTCCAGTTTTGGACACAGCCTAGTTGTAAATATAACCAAACACACCCTGAGCAACTTATTGAGGTCTTCAGGATCTAAATAGCTAAACTCTGCAGGAAAGTAGATCTCTAGTAGCAAAAGGAACAACTGAGCCCTGAAAGTCATTCAGGCAGGATCATATATATCAAATATAGAGAAATGATGCTCCTTTTGAGCTCATTCCACTTTCCCTTAGAGATTTACTGTGGCTTCTTAGTGTGTATCTTAGTGAGGCCCCTCCTGCTCCTACTGGCTCCACCCCCTCAGGGTGTCACATGACCATTTTACTGCTTTTAACTGGTGTCACCCTTCTCCTACAGGTGACCCTGGTGCTGAGGAGTGGTCCCAGTGGAGCTCTTGCTCAGTTACATGCGGTCAAGGGTCGCAGGTGCGAACAAGAACATGTGTCTCACCTTACGGATCACACTGCAGCGGCCCTTTAAGAGAATCCAGGGTGTGCAATAACACTGCCCCCTGCCCAGGTAGTGCTAGCCACAGACACCGGACTGTCCTTCAGAATCTATATCTTTCATCTTCAGGGCGGAAAGTTGCTGTCATTTTTGATTTATTTTTGTCATTCATATATTCAATTATTCGCTGTCATTGCTTATGTCCAAGGTATTATTGTTTTCATATTTAGTTGGTATTTTTTCTTTGTGTCTGCTATTTTTTTTTTCCACGTGTGTTTTCAATAATTCATCTTGTCCTTTGTTTTGTTTAATCAAATTTCTCATTCATTTGTCACCCTTTTCATGTTTCTCTTCTCATTGTATTTGACTTAGCCAAGCTTTTTATATAATTCCAGCACCAACCTTGTTCAAACACAAAGTGAAACTTGTCAGAAGAGTGTTTGTTGGTGCATGCAGATGAAAAATGTCGAAGAAAGGGGGAAAGGACTAATCTATCCCCCTGCGGCCAGAAAAAAAGCGTTCTGAATTACCCTCTTGTTTTAAAATCTTTAATTACTGGAGGTATCGACCTTTAATTTATCATTTTCGGAGGTGCCATCTTAATGGAGTTGGGCTCAACGATACTACGTACAGCGCCATTGAACAGGCTGTCAGCAGCTAACTGGATTTTTATTTAGAGTAAAAGTGCGTGAAAAGATGCTTGTTTTCCCCCTCCCCCTTCATCACAAGCTCCGAAAATGCAGTTCAGCTCTTTTAGGACTTTTGGTATTGGTAAATTAATGCTGTTTACACGTTACCTCAGCAGCATTGAACTTATGTCACAAGCTAACTGGATTTTTATTTTAAGTAAAAGGACATGAAAAGAGACTTGTTTTGTTTACACCATTAGCTATAAAAAATGGCAATTCAGCTCTTTTAAACCTTTTCATTCGGCTAAATCAATGTGGTTTACACAGTATTATTGTCACACAGCTTTAACCCTTAACTCTACGTTGTGGGGACCAAATGTCTCCAAATTTTTTTATTTTTTTTTGATCCAGTGGGAACATTTTTTGGTTCCTATGTGGAAAACAACTTATAAGACATCTAGAATTATGTTTTCTATGATGGTTGTGTTAAGGGTTAGGGGATAGAATATGCAGTTTGTACGCAATATTTGACCATAAGTCTGGTGTTGGAAAAGGCTCGAAGGCACATGTAAAGATATAAAAGGCCTTTACATTGGAAATAAAGACCAACATGTCTCTTGAACGATCAAATAAATTAATTTATTTTCCCTTTGGAATAGCTTGGACGGCAGCCTAATTGAGCACAACATTGCTTTTCTTTTGAGGTCAACCCTTTTTTCGCATCATACTGTGTTTTGAGGCAAAATAAAAGCATGTTTGTAGTAAGTTATGCTCTGGCAGACAATGCTTTCTTACTAGAGTATATGCTTCATTGTTTGAGAAAGTTCATAGTCGGCCATTATATATAAATTCCAAACGACCTAACTCAAGCCGAGTTTCCCTCTGGACATCTTTTGACACAAATCAAACAGTGGTTCTTTGAGATGTCGAAAGTGTATATTGTTGAAGACAAATGTCATGTTTCATTCTAGTCCAGTGGTTCTCACCTGGTTTTTGCTTCAGAACCTTGATTTTACATTGAACATCAAGTGGTGACATAACAGACATAAAACTGAACAAAATTTTCTTAAAAAATACATTTGTATATATTATTATATATAGCAAATTATATAGGATATGTAGGGAAATTGGCTACATTTAATCTTAAGTTTTTTTTTGTTTTTTTTTTCAATGATAAGAGGATGTCAGACAAGTTGATAACTTACACTATGGGTCTGTACGATTTTTTTAACGTTTTGAAAGCTGGCTCTTATCCTCAGCAAGGCTGTATTTATTTAACAGGATTATTGTGAAATAATGTTACATATTTTTTTTATCAGTTATTCTAATTATGTCAGTGTTCAGAAATTAAAAATTATTTCAAATGGATTTTTTTGAAACAATGTAAAATCTTTTACTGTCACTTTTGATCGTCAAATAAAAGTCTTTTGAACAGCAACAAGCTTAAAAATAATTTGCATAGAAATTAGAATTGGACAGAGTTTATAAATAACAAACATACTTTTTTATAAGCCTATTCATTTTGCTGTTCCAACTATGCACAATTTAAGGGATAGTTAGAACCAAAGCACCGATGGTGTGAGGACCCTATTGGAATTGCTCCGTTTATTATTGCTATTATAATTCGCTTTGATACAACCTTTTTTTTTTTCGTTTCACAACCCATCCGTTTAAAATAACTTGTTGAGTCCATCTGTATACCTTTAAATACAAGTCAAAAAACAACATAGACACTATTTTGAGACATCCTATAGTTGGCAGCCCAACAGCAAATTAAAAAAAAAAATGGTTCCGTTATATGGCAAAGTCATTGAGCCGGTTTTCGTGAAGGCTGGCTTTCCTTGCGTGCTTCAACGAGAGTTTGTTTTTAATTAATGCTCTTTGAGTGGGACTGGAGTTTTCATTATACAGTAAGAGCATTAGAGAAGAGGATTTGACGTTTGGAGGGGAAACGGTGCCCAGCGGTCTTGACACTGATGACTGGATTAAGCCCCAGTGAGTGCACGAGCAGAACGAACACCTGGGACTTTGATAAGTACGCTAAGAGAACTGAGACGAATGCGGCACGGCTGCGGCAGCCCTCCCGGCGCGTCTTTCATCACGCAAAAGACAAAAGAATGTCATCAGCCATGGTGCTCTGGATGGGGGTAGAGTGGTTTGGGATTGGGAAAGGTAAATTGTAAAGAAAAGGGGAAATGATGCAGTTGTTTTGATTCATTGCGGTTGTCTAACAGCTGTTGACAAACAGGCTAAGAGTCGGTGCTGGAGGTGTTTCACTGCTGCATTTGAATGAGGCTGTGTGTTGGTGTGGGTGTGTGTGTCTTAACTCTTGTCCTCTGTTGGCAGTGCACGGTGTGTGGGAAGAGTGGTCTCCGTGGAGCCTCTGCTCTTTCACCTGCGGACGAGGTCATCGCACCCGCACTCGGACGTGCACTCCACCCCAGCATGGAGGAAGAGCGTGCGATGGACCCGAGACCCAAAGCAAACTCTGCAACATTGCCCTCTGCCCAGGTCTGTCTACTTTAGATGCACTGCCTGTCTTTACTTGCCTCTTTTTGCATCATCATTTCTCATTCTGGCCCTGTGTACACCTGGTGTTAGTGGACGCTAAATACAGGTGGAAACGGGGACTAAAATGTTTCGAGTTTGTCCACTTTCAACCACTTCCAGAGGTAGTTGAAAACACATTTGACCGCATAGTGTAAATGCTCGTATGGTTGAATGCATTCAAACAGCCACAATATACCACCTGCTCTCCGCCTACTGACCAAATGCATAAACATTATGGGAAGCGATCCAGCCAGGCGGGATTTAAACTTTGTCGGCTGACGACCCAAGTTTGGTTTGAAGATGAAAAATGTACCAAGCGCGATGTTCTCTCACCATTCCTGATTTCTAACATGTGTTTGGCGTGATCTTGCCGCTGTCAGACAACGGATTCTCATCCCAAGGCGTCATCTCTCAACTCCAGTCCTCGTGACCCACTGCGCTGCATATTGTGTATGTCTCCCTTACTTAAAGGGATACTCCACTTTTTTTGGAAATAGGCTCATTTTACCACTCCCCCAGAGTTAAACAGTTGAGTTTTACCATTTTCGAATGTATTCAGACGATTTTTTGATATTTAGAAGAATATCAGCAACCAGGCAGTGACTTCCATAGTATATTTTTTTTCCTACTGTGGAAGTCAATGAGACCAGAAACTGTCTGGTTACTGATATTCTTCTAAATATCAAAAAATCGGCTGAATGGATCTGAAAACGGTAAAACTCAATTGTTTAACTCTGGGGGAGTGGTAAAATGAGCCTATTTCCAAAAAAAGTGGAGTATCCCTTTAACACACCTGATTCAGATCCTCAGCTGCGTCCCAATTCACATACTATCCGTCCTAAATAGCATTCGAAAATAGAATTAGTGCGTCCCAAACCGTTGTATGTTGAAATGATTGTTTCGAAGATACCCGGATGGTCTACTTTTTCCGGTCAGAATCCGAACTGTAGATCGATGCACACTCTAACGGCTGATATTGCCCACAACCCTTTGCGCGTTGAACGAGGATTCGGTTAGAACTACAAACACGAGTAAAAAGTGTTAAAAAACTACAGACACGGAGGACGTGCGAGTCCCGCGGTTATGTTGAGAGGTTTAGATAAAGATGTTTGAGTGATTAATTAACACTATCTGACCTGACGAAAATTAATTTATTCAATGTTCTCCACATTATATTGCATCTGCAGCAGCATTGTGAACTTTTGGAAGGATACTTTTAGCCATTACTTTTTAAATGCATCATTACATTAAAATTGCAAAACACGAGGAAAGTATACACATGAAAGACCCATGACTGGCAGATTAATGTGCTCCGAAACGGTAGGAAATCAAATTAGATTGAATGGAGGATTTTAACTGTGACGAGATGATTGACAGGATGCACGCAGCACGCGACGGAGCCGTCCGTTAAAGATGACGTGATAGCATGTCCCAAAGCTTGCCTACTTTTTTACTACACACTCAAAAGTATGTGCTTTTTCTTCACAAAAAGAGTACATACTTTTAGGGCGTAGTATAAGTAAGCGAATCGGGACGCGAATTGTCTATCATAACGAGCTGAGGATCTGAATCAGGTGTGTTAAATAAGGGAGACACACAATATGCAGAGCAGTGGGTGGCGAGGACTGGAGTTGAGAACCCCTGATCTAACTGGCAATTTTGACCATGCTTCAATATCCGACGCTTTAGGCACCCTTTGGATTATGCTATCCTAGGCGCCTAAAGCGTCGGATATTGAAGCATGGTCAAAAGCATCGGTTAGATGACGCCTTGGGATGAGAATGGGCTGTGTCAGAGCAGAAACGAAAGCTGCTGCGCTCTGTATGTTTCTCCGTTGTTTCTGGTTGGCTAACCACCCAAGTTTGTTTTGAAGATGAAAAATGTACCAAGCACAATGTTCTCTCACCATTCCTGTGTTTAGCGTGATCTTGCTGCTGTCAGAGCAGAAATGAAAGCTGCTGCTCTCTGTATGTTTCTCCGTTGTCTCCGGTCGCGTTCATAATGTATGTAAATAGTGTGATTTTAATTTCATCCATTAGATAGAAAGATCTGAAAAAAAGTCCCTCAGACGTGGTCGAAAGTGGACAAAAGAGACGGTTTGAAACACCTCCTCTCCTCTCCCTTTTCTTGTCTCATTTGTTCCCCTTCCCTTCTACTTGTCCTTCATTTTCTTTTCTCATCTCACATCTTTTCTCTTTTCGTCTTATCTATCTCTTTTCTCACCTTGTTCATTCTCCTTTTGTCTTCTCCCTTCTTCCCATCTCTACTGAGTCATTCTCTCTATTTTCCGAATCTGATGCCTCAGTGTTCCCCCGAGCCTCATGCTTTTCTAGCCGTTCTCTAACCGTAATCAATTTTGTTGTAAATTGAAGACCACTCCACTAATTTGGATGCGGTTGTGAGCCATCGTCCTCTGAGAATGATTTGGTGGAATTAGGCATGACATGGAAGCCCCTCAATGTTTGATCCCGTCTGTAAAGAATCAAAGCTCATCTCACATAGAGGTGGCTCCTGGGAGTAACCAGCAGCTGCCAGCGGTGGAACATTACAGGATCAATTACAGAATAGTTTATTACATGGGACAAAATGGATGCGCTCACAAGGCTTCTTGGCATGTGGAACGCAGCAGCGTGTGGTGTGCAATAAAACCCCACAAGGCTGAGAGAAACACCGCTTCATGCTCACTCTAGAAAAGAGCTGAAGAAAAATCACTTAAGCACAATCGCCTGTGAATGATAGCCTCTTTAAATATGCTGAGTTTCTATACACTGTAGATGGGTAAGTACAGATCGTCCAATCTTGGTCAGCTTTGTTTGTCTCGTGCTTTAAGAGTGTCGTCCCATTCAGCAAAAAAAGAGGCAATTAGCCCCTCTTTACACGTCTGTGTTGTGTTTTGTAGCGTCAGCTCACCCGGAGCTTGTGCTGTTGCCAAATTCTGGCTTGCATATTTTGGTCCGAGGTTTTTAAAGTTGACCTCAGAGCTCACGTGCCAGGGAAAAACTAATTTCTTCTAGAATGAGAGTGGAACGCATCACAAGACCAGAATATTCAGTATAAGAGTAGCTTTTACTGGGTCATGTTGGCTAGTTAGCAAGCCAACTGAGGCACTGAGGCAGTATTATTACCTCTTTCCCCGGGGCTAATGGGGTTATTCAGGCTGACAGTAGCCTCGATTCCAAATGGACGTGATTCTCTCTCTCTCTCTTTCTCTCTCTCTTTCTTTCTCTCTCTCTCTCTCTCTCTCTCTCTCTCTCTCTCTCTCTCTCTCTCTCTCTCTCTCTCTCTCTCTACATTGAAATTGAAATTACATGCGTGTAATTGTACATTTTTCAATACAGCAAATATTATATAAAAGCTAAAGTAAACATTGGAAGGTGAAATGTATCAAAACATTATTTCTAATATAGCTAGATTATTTGTATTATAGATATACAACTAGATGTTTATCTTATAGTGAAAACATGAATAGCTTTCATGAATTGTGCAAAAGCTTACCACCATTGTTGTGTGTGGCCTTGCTATGGGCAAGTGATTGCTAAGGTGTTTATTCTGAGTTGTTGCGTGTCAAAAAAAGTCCCTATATGCGTTTTTTATTTGCCCATTGTCAAAAATCATAAGTACTGTTGCATAGAAAAGTAATTGCACCCTTGTCCTTGACTTTTTAAATGCAATACTAACATACTCTGTACTAGCACTAATGTTTTCAAGCAATTTGCGCACATGGCAGAAGCTTTCATCCAAAGTCGATGCATTCCCTGGGAATCAAACCCATGACCTTGGTGTTGCAAGCATATAGTGTTATGTTGTGCCCTGTAGAACCCTTGCAGTTCCATTTGGCACCACTAGTGGCACCAAAATTACACACTTCACCTTATTTTAGGACATAAATGTGGCAGGTAATTAGGGTTAGTAAGATGTTCCAAAGCTAGCTTATATAAACGTACTTCTTTCTTCTCTCTGCCATATTTTCTCTTCTCTGTTTGGGATGCTGTTTTGCGTTCTGCATGGGCGCCCACAGTGGACGGACAGTGGCAGGAGTGGAGTGCATGGAGCGATTGCTCAGTGACCTGTGCCAACGGGACGCAGCAGAGGAAGAGGCAGTGCTCAGCGGCTGCTCATGGGGGATCTGAGTGCAGAGGACATTGGGCGGAGAGCAGAGAATGCTCCAATCCGGAGTGTACAGGTATGACATTCATTCAAAAGGAAATCTATGTGTGTTTGTTCTTTCAGTATCCAATGTAAGGTCTTTGTTTTAATGACTCCATCTGACGAGCATCTTTATTGTTGTCTTGTGAAACAGGAAGTTGGATTGAGTCAAATCAAAGGACTTGTCGGTTCAATGCTCAACCATGAGGATTGTAAATATATATATATATATATATATATATATATATATATATAAGATCATAAATAATTCAAAAGTATCAAAATGTATTTTAATTCAGAAATTGAAAACATGCTCATCGCAGAAGATTCAAAGCATTTCCCCCCAAAATTAAAATATATACAGTATAAAAATATGTACAGTTTACATCAGTGAAAAGATTGGATTCTAAAAGATTGGAATATTACTTTTTTATGTTTTTGAAAGAAGTCTCTTGTGCTCACACAAAATGATTTCTATTTTAAACAACTTTCGATTAATCAGAGAATGTATCCCGGTTATTACGCAGCAAAACCCACTTTCAATATTAATAATAATTTCATAAGTAATACTATTTCAGTACCAACAATAATTTATAAGAATTGAGCACCAAATCGATTTGATCATTTCTGAAGGGTCATGTGACACTGAAGACTGGAGAAATGAGACTGAAAATTCAGCTTTGCCAACACAAGAATAAATTATTTTTGAAAATATATCATTTAACCAGTTATTTTAAATAATATTTCAAATTTCTGAGCAGAAGAGTCTTCTTTCAAATACATTTGAAACATTTTTTTTTTTTTTCCCAAATTATTCCGAACCTTTGACCAGTAGTGTATGGAATTGCGTCATCAATATTTTTGTTTCATTTTACTGGAGAGAAAGATTGTACAATCTAAAAACAGTGTATTTCCTAAAATATGCTCTATCTTAGTCAAGTCAAATCACCTTTATTTATATGGCGCTATTTAAAATACATATTGTAAGCAGCTTCACAGTGAAAAAATGAAAATAATACAAAAAAGTTTGTTTCTCAGAGAAAATTGCATCAATGTCCTCCTTAAGTACGGCATCTATAATAATGTAATGTATCTATAATATTGTTGAATATTAAATGTCCCCAACTAAGTAAGCCAAAAGCCAAGACAACAGTGGCAAGGAACCAAAATCCATCAGGGACAGAATGGAGGAAAAGACCTTGGGAGAAACCAGGCTCAGTCAGAGGACCATGTTCTCCTCTGGCCGATGAAGGAACACTGTGTGATTCGGGCAGCCTTATAAGTCAAATTGGATCAGAACATTTAGAGTATTTATCCATTTCCATCCGGTTGGAAGTCGAAGTAATCACGCCAGTGTGGAGATGAGTTAGATTACACATGTAGCAACAGATAGAGATAAGGCCATAACACTTGTTTTTAAAGGGATTCTCCACCTTTTTTCATATTAAACATTCATACTGTATGTTATTCCCTTAACTAATACGAGTTGACATACCTCTGTCGTCTCAGTGCATGCACTTCTCTGCTTGGCCCATATTGAATGAACTGGGCTAGTTAAGTGCTATCAAAGTGTTTCACACCAGAACGATGGAGTTAAGGCCAACTCGTCTTAGTTAAGGGAATAACATAGTTAAATATGAAAAAAAAACAAAAAAACGGTGGAGCATACCTTTAAAAAACATTGATGTTATCCCCAAGCTAACTATGACATCACTTCAACATTCAGAGACTGTTCTGTGTCAGGCATTATCTTAAGTTTGTGTTGATAGACCGTGGGGGTGGGTCTCGCTTGAGAGCGCCCACACACTGTGCCTGGCAGGTAGTTCTTTAAAACACACAGGAGCCCCTCAGCATGATGCTTGTAAGCTGGAAGACTCTTGCTCTATGTGCTTCATGATAACAGAGAGTCTCAGCGAGTTTGAAGCTGCTTACAGTGTGAGACGTGCTATGTTGTAGCATCAAAGCTAAAATGGAAGCATAACCACAGCATGGGATTGGTAAACTATTTGTATGTGTCATTAATATGTATTTTTCAGAGTTTATATATGAAATATATAAAAAGGTAGGGATCTGCAAGATTTTTTTTAATGTTTTTTTTTTTTAAGTCTATTATGCTCACCAAGGCTTCATTTATTTGATTATATATATATATTAACATAATAAATATATTTATTGTAACTTTTGATCAAATTAATGCATCCTTGCTGAATAAAAGTGTAAATGAATAAAAGTTATTTTACCCTTGCTTTCTTTTTATTGCTTTCTCCCACCCCCACCCATTTTTCTTACTTGTTGTCAGTAAGAAAAACATTTCTTACTGACAACAAACTTTTCAACGGTAGTGTATAATGTTTCAAAAGCTTTCTCTTTCAGAAAAATGTCTTTTCATCATAGAATCCTGAAAAAAATTACATAACGGTTTTGAACATTGATAATGATACAGTTTTTTTTCTGATTTTCTTAAACACTAAACCCCATTCTCTGAACCAAATTCTTAATAATCTTAATTCTTAATTTGTCGAATAAATCACCTATTCAATAAAACATTAAACAAGTTCAGGTACTTGCAAATCTGTTTGCAAATCTCATGCACTCTAAACACATTCTCACTCACTCACTCAAAACACTGAACACATGCAGGCAAACGTTAAACACAACTACAACACGGTTGTTCAAAATTGTTCACACTTATTTCTAAGTGACCAAACTAACTGTACATAATACACGTCAGTTCAAAGTGCCAAAACTGACTCAAAATGTTGCACCGAATGTTGATTCCAACACTGGATGGAAACAAAATAAGAGGGACAGGAGGAAGAGTGTTAGAGGTTGTGAACAAGGAGGAAGAGGATGAGGACGAGAAAGAGCAAGGTTTGCATGTTGTCAGGGCTGGATCTGGCTTCAGGGTTTTCCCCTTTGCCTGCAGAGATGCCAGTGTCTGTGATGTGAATAAAGTCCTCAGGCTGGACCCAACATGAAGACATGATGCTGAAGCAGAATGATTCTCACACTGACCTTGAAGAGAACAACTCTTCTGAGTGTACTGTTTTTTTACTGAATTTTGCAGTTGGGTCACTGTATTTTCACAGTATACAAGTGCTGAGCAGACATATGCCTACTATACAATATTCAGTAAAATACCACACAATTTATTCACCTTACTACTGTAAGTTGTCATTACTACTGAACGTTTTTTTTTTTATGTAATTGCAAAATTGTTTACTTTGTTACAATATACTTTGTTTTTGTAACTGTGTGCTTTGCGTTCTGCGTTTTTTTCAAATGAATCATCTGTAGTGTTATAATATTGACTCACTGTGTGTATGATTGGAAAGCATTGTTTGACTTTGAGAACAGATAAAATAGAAAAGGGAGAAAGGAAGTGATGGATTCAAGAAATGTGTTCTAGCAATTCAGAGAAACATGTTTCTTGAGCAGCAAAAATGATTTCTGAAGGATCATGTGACACTGAAGACTGGAGTAATGAAGCCTAATGATGCCATTACAGTAATACATTATATTTTAAAATACATTCAAATAGAAAATAATTGTTTTAAATTGTAATAATATTTCACAATTTTTTAATCAAATAAATGCAGCCTTGGTGGGCATAAGACTCTTCTTTTAAAAACATAAAAAATCTTACCGATCCCAAACCTTGTGTGTGTGTGTGTGTGTGTGTGTGTGTGTGTGTGTGTGTGTCATATATATATATATACTGTATATATATTGTGTATGTATATATATATATATAGGCCTGTGTGTTTGTGTGTGTTATATCTAAGTATTTATATCGACTTACATTTATAAATTGTTCAATATCCTTGCCTTGCCTTGCCTTGCCTTGCCTTCAGATAGCCAACAGTAATGTCGACACCAAAATATGTACTTACACTCTAAAAAATGCTGGGTTGTTTTAACCCAATTTTGGGTCAAATATGGACAAACCTGAAATGTTGGGTTAAAAATGTAATGTAAAAATTTAACCCAACGGCTGGGTTAGTCCATATTTGACCCAAAGTTGGGTTAAAACAACCCAGCATTTTTTAGAGTGTATACTTATTTATAATGTCTTGATTATAATACTTATATTATTAATTAATTATTATAATATAATTATTACAATACTAATCTTCCTTGCATATATTTAACCGTGACGTTGCAGTTGATATGGTGTGATATGGTGCTCAAAATATGAGATGCAAAGTCAAAATTACAAGAAAATAAAGGTCACACTTTATATTAGGTCTTTAACCACTGTACTTACCTAAAAAAATTAAAAAAAATAAGTACAATGTACTTAAGTACAATGTACTTATTGTGTCCATGTTGTGTTGAAAAAAACTTGTGCAGCTATTGAGGATACCAAGCAGTGGTGGAAGAAGTACTGAATCTCAGTACTTAAGTAAAAGTACAAATAAACAGATAATTATTTACTTTAGTAAAAGTAGAAGTAACACAATGACAACCATACCATACCATATTGAACAATAAATTGTTATGCAAGTACTTTTACTTTTAATACTTAAAGTACATTTAAAATCAGGTAAAAAGTACCTGATTTTAAATGTACTTTAAGTATTAAAAGTAAAAGTACTTGCATAACAATTTATTCTCTTAATGTCTATTTTTTTCTAATGATTAATAAAACATTTAATTCTAACTCATTCCACCTAATACTCCTATAATGATGTTCAATAATTATGGAAAAAAATTGTCACCATTTCTGAAACAAGCTTGCAATTAGGCAATATACACATCATGCTTTTCCTTACTATATATTAATAACTATGTTTGGCAGTAAACTCGATTAATTTATGGTGTAATTCTGAATCTCTTGGCTTGCCATAGGCTAATCCTAACCATATGTATAGGCCTATTACACACGGTGCGTTTCCTATGCACATAAAAACAAATTTCCACATATAAATTGCACGAAAAACACACTGCGTGCGAGACGCATTTAGTTGATGTATCTATATGGCAACCAAACGTCACTGGTGAGACAAACGTGCAACGAACGCATGGTCAGATTAC